ATCTTCTGTTTCAGTCCGTTATTACACTCTTAAATCCTACTACTTATTCCTGCGTCTTTTGGGATCTTACAAAGCTTCAAACGACGCGTCGACTATTAAATCAGTCGTCGACGATTTTGATAGTCGACGTAATCGTGACTAGTCGACTAATCGTGGCAGCCCTAATTGAAATGTTTGCAGCACATGTTTGTCTGAGTGGTGATTTTATAGAGCATGGATGGAGAAACTAGAAATGCACATGCTGCCTCTATGGGTGATTGTTCATGTGAGAGGGGAGATCCATGTGGATTTTAATCCAATCTTCTGTCATAAAGAGGCAAACAGGAAAACAATAAAGCACCATATCTTGGTTCACTTGAGGTCTACTGGAGCTGGCTGAGCTGATCACTGCGATACATATTTCATCAGCATCCTAGTAAAATATGCATCCAAATACGTGTGTGGAACTCTCATCGTACATGTCTCATGCACATTTGAAACTTATTATTATTTATTTATTTGAAACTCACCACAATGGGAGAGACAGTTTAATGACCTTTAGGCAGAGGTCGTTATTACAGATGGTCTTATTAAGAATCTTCTGTAGACCTCTTGGGTCTTTCAAGGTTTTAATGCTCTAAACAGATTTAATAAAGGTGTAAACTATGACTCGGCACAAGACAAACTCCATATAATCCCCACTAATACCTGTTTACAGCTTAGTCTGGCAGCGTTTTATATGCTAATACATTTAAAATGAGTCCATAACAAATAATTAACGCGAGGAAATGATTCTGCCAAGCCAATTAACCTGTGGCTCATGAAGCAACATTACACACTCCGTTGCGTTTCTGCAATCACCAGAGTTTTGCAGAACATTTTTTGGAGGTCATGCTAATAGCGAGTCTTCTTTGTCACGGTGATAGTGCAACCGTGGAGCAACTTCCTTGCTGCGCCACAAAGTCATACCACAGTTTGTGGCCAAGCCTCGAAACAGAGCGTGTGATTTTGTTAACATTCACCAAAATCCTATTAAAATGTGCTGGTGAAACACTGCAAAACCCTTTAAAATAGATAATTTTTAAAAAAAGGTCACGTCAACTCCGTCTGTTGTCCTTTATACTGCATGAAAAGCTTCTCCTTAAGTTCATTAACTGCCATCTGAAGACAGCAGGACAGATATTTGGATAAATCTGCAGCCTCTTATCAGAGAAGTGTATCGTTATTACACACAGCTGTCCACTCTGTTTCTTTTTATTAAATCACATGCAAATAATACTGAGCCACTATTAAATGAAACACGCACATCACTACGCGCACAAGCCTGCTGATAGCGTCATACTCTGCCTGTGTTTGTGAGAGAAGCCAGATTATCAAAGGATCAGGATACAGCAAAGAAAGCAATCCTAAAATTTTATCAGTGGACAAAAAAATATTGCATCATTTGCTTTATGAAGGTAGATGTGCGCACACGCTAGTAGTGTAATGGGACCGGCTCTGTGGCTCCACCACCATCCTTTCACTGCTTTGCACTGCTGAACAAATGTGAGACATTATCCATGATTTAGATTTCCTCAGGGAGAGCGTGCACACACTCACTTCTCTGAAGCACAGCGAGAAGTTATCCTGATCAATTCTAGTTTTTTTTTATATCTTAAAAGAAGAAATTCTATAAATGACAAAACCGAATACAGCTGGCTCAAAATAATGTCGGTCATCAGTGTAATCTAATGATGCAAAGAAATCTAATTCATTTCCATTTGTTTATTTCCCCCTGGGGAGCAGGATTAAGAGTTGATCGAGCTTTGCATTGCTGACACCGTGGAGCTCTTTGCAGGAGAGGCCAGTGAGGTGGTTTGCATCACTAAAAACGAGAGCAGTTTGCAGGAAAATTGGGAAATGTTTGAAAAATGATGCATGTGTAGCTTTTGCAGGCATATCTTGAGAACTGGATTTGGTTTCACTGTGCAAAAGAAAAATAAGCACAAAAACAGCACAAGGGCCTCCCACCCACAGCATCATTTGTTCTGGTATCTATTCAAGTAAAGGTTGTGCTGAGAAGATGCTTTCTCTTTTTTTTCCCCAGCAGCATCCTCCTGCATATTCATATAATTGTTTCCTGGGAGTGCCCCAGTTTTCCAGTGTTTCCTTCAAATCCTGACCACATTTAAAATGAGTTTCGGATTTAATTTAATACCAAACTCCCAAGAGCCGCATGTTCTCCTCTCTTACCGTTAAAGAAAAATAAACTGCAGCATATTTAATGACATTCTGAAAAATTCTTCACTTTCCGTGTGTTTAAATCTAACTGCAGACATACTGTATGTCAGCACTATAAGTGATTATGTTGACTGATCTTTACACATTTTAAAATGAGTGCTTGCATATCATCTGTTTGCATGTTCATGTCATCTCATACTCCCCAGCTTCAGCACTCTGTTTGGAACCTGACTGGGGTTCAAGAGCTGATCAAGAGGACAGGAGGCAACATGCTGCCTTTTTATGGTTCATTCATTTTAAATGACTGCTGCACATGGATCACTGCTTATATCATGTATACGTGTACAGTGTACATTATAGCAAAGAAGTTTCAGTCTGTCGGGGAGGCAGCAGTTCATTCCTGAATTCACTGTGCAGCATAACAACCACTGCCAAAATACAGCAGAATCAGAAAGATCTGTTCAGCAACAAGAAGAGAAACAGTCCCGCAACAGATGGCACGGGCCCCACAGAGCCCTGATCTCAACATTACGGAGTCTATCTGGGATGAAGAGACCAAAGCAACTGAAGTTGCCTCAGTATCCAAAAGAACTGCTGCAAATTCTCCAACCCAGCTGCAAAACCAGAGTACTTTGAGTGCCATGACAA